TTTTTTCGAAAGACTTCAAAAGATTTCAGAAGACTACATAGACTTTAGAGACTTCATAAACTTTAAGAGATTTCGAAGACTTCAAGAGACTTACAAGACCTCATGCATGAAGTCTCCGTTGTTCCTCCCTCGTCTCCCCGTGAAATAAATGTATCTATAGAAATTCAGAAGATTTCATGAGATTTCATAAGACTTCATGAGACTTCAGGCATGAAGTCTCTGTTGTTTACCCCTTGTCAAAACATCTACTTACTTTTGTAATGTTTGATTTCTTCGTAATACTTGTGCCAATGCTTCAGTACCAGCTCCATGAATACTATTTCCCTATATATATTATAAATCGTATGTAAAAAATACGTCAGTCTATTATTATTTACTTTTAATTCTAATGTTCTACAAGTTGTATTCTTTACTAATCCATGAAGAAAAGCTTGTAAAGCTTTTTTAAGAAAAAATTCAATGAAATTATTTATTAATAAATTTTTTTTACCTTCACTTGTTAAATTACAATCATTAAGATGAATACTTGTAAATAAACAATCATGTGTAAATAATTTTCCTAAGACTACAAATTGTGCTTCGGGAATACTTAATGAAGATAAATTGAAACTTTTTGTTGGATTATTATCACCATTAGAAACTCTGAAAATAAAAATAAAATTTTTTGATCGAAAATAAAAACAAAAATTGAATTAAGTACTTTTGAATTTCGCCTAAAATTGTTTCATTTGGTTCAACATCATAAGTTTTACAATAATCATAATAAAGTGTTTTACATTGATCCATTGATTAATTGAAACTAAAAAATATTCATAATAGATTATCCAACAACCATGAGAATATTCATTTTGTAATCAGTATCATTGCAACCATGTCTTTAACTATTATAGATGTCACTAAAAATAATGCGGAATATTTGAAAAATTCATTATTCCGTTTTCAGTTATATTATATTCTTCGTAAAAGAACTAATGACATCATTCAACGATTTACCTATTGAAATAATTCGACTTATATTCGAATATTTTACACCAGCTGAAACTGTAAATAATTATATGAATAAAAATAAAACATTAAATTCAAATTTTTCTTTAGGTTCATTTATTTTCACCGATCAATTATAAAATGAAAGCAATTGGTGATAAACATATGGTTGATAATTCAAACAATGTGGTATTAAATTTTTTTCGAAATAAATAAACTCTTTACTTTTGTTTTACTATGAAATTGAGACTTGTATGAAATAAATAAATTGAAAAAACATTTGTTTTTCTAGATTATATGTTTTTAAATATTGATTATGCTAAACGAGTAAGAACAAAAGAAATTTTTAAATTGGGTTTTTTTCGAAAATATATTTTTCTAGGCTGCTGCTCGTGAGCAACATTCAATGAATAGTGATTGTTTACCAATAATACAAATTGAAGATGATGATGATATTGATTATGAACAATTATTTGATGATTATGAAGTATCCAGCGATAATTCTAAATCAGAAATAAAAAAACCTACAAAACGAGTTCGTTTTGCTCCTATTCTTGATGATAATTCTTTAACACCAACATTATCACGTCCACCATCTGTTCGACCAACATTTGAAGTTGAATTTGATTTTGATTCACTTGCAACACCATCAATAGAATTAAATAAAGATATTTCACATATGCCATCAAAATCTATTGAAAATATTAATTGGAAAGATGCATTTCTTAGTGATTTACATATAGCAAAAAAGAATAAAACAACAATTGTTACATCTCCATCAATTATACAAACAGAAAATAAAACAAATGAAGATACATTATGGGATTTTATGAAAGAATCAAATCCTGAATTATTAGAAAAACTTGAACGAACAAATAATGATAAACAAAAACGTATTGATCGTTTTTCTATGCAACAAACAATGACAAATACTAAACCAATGTCGATACCAAATGAAGAAGGTATACAAAAGACAAATTATAATGAGAGATGTTTATATAATTTTAAATAAAACGAAATTGTTTGTGTTACCATCAAAGCCTATACAATCTCAACCAACAAACATATCAATCATTGAAATTCGACTTGAAAATGGTATTTATTAATTTTTCTTTGTATTATTCAAAAATTTTCTTTTAAATACTTATTAGATGAATTTAATCAAGTTCATGAAGAACTACTTCATTTTCTATTACCATATCATAAAATCTTATGTAAAGAAAATATATGGCCACAAGAACATAATTTTACATCACCAAATATTTCTCTTGAATTAATAAAAACTATTTGTAAAAATGATAATTCATTTAATTTAATTTCGAATCGAAGTGATATTCTTAAACATTTAATGTTTATTTATACCATAACATCATTTCTTTATGTATTTGCTTATTGTTCCTTACAAACGGCTATACGTCATGTTGAAAATGTAATTGTACAAAATATGAAAAATGTTTGCATTGGTTTGTAAAATCAAAATTTTCTTTTTTTGAAAATATTAATTTCCTTTTTTTCTGAAATTATTAGATCAAGAACGTGGAAAACCTTTATTTGATTTATTAACAAAAACTCATCAAAAATTTGAAAATATTCCTCATCCAAAAATTTTACATATTAAACATTTGTTTAAAGATTTTTTTGATAAACGAAGACAATTAATCGATACTACAAAACAAATATTTGAACCAAAAGTAAAATATTAATTTATTTCGAAATCAAAGTCTCGAGTCTCTCTGGGAGAGATAAGCTATCACTCAGTTCTATGTTTAGAAAACATTTTTTTCAATTAACAAAAAACATTTTTTTTTCAAAGTTTCTTCTCCTTGTTCAATATGAATCAATTGATCTTTTACATGACATTGAACGTGGTCTTTCATCGCTTATTGAACTTCATTGTTATGTTTATGATAAACAAACTAATATTAATCGAGATGAATTCAATGATTTGTAAGTTATTACTTACCATTTGTTTTTCTTTTAAAGTGTTTTTGTTATATAATAAAAAGATTAATGTATAATAATATGATTATTATTCGTACACGTCAAATTTCATCAACAATTATTGTTCGACCAAAACGATTAACATTAGTTATTGAATATGAATATGGAGAACAAATTTTACAATGGTATCAATTTTGTCAACAACAAATTATTTCTTATATTGCCTACAAAACTATTTTACCTTCATTTATAGCTCCAGGTTTGTCTCTGATATTGATGATAGAAATAATTTTAAATTGAATTTATATATATAGAAAAAGAAGAATTCATTGAAATTACACAAAAAATAGCTTCACCAATAATGAAAGAAGAATTCTTAACATTACCAACGATTGTTTTAGCTCGACCATTAGTTGATAATTTTAAATTATTACGAACACTCGAATGTCGGTAAGTTAAATATAAAATAACCATTTGTCGATACGACTAGTGTTGATCTAAATAATAAAATTTTAGACATGATATATCAATTATTACACGAGATTATCATTTACTTGGTATTCCAATTGATCAACAACCAGATATTTTAATTGATTGGACTACTTCAATGTTAATCTTTGATTTAAATACAAAACTTGATATTAATACAGTACGACATAAGGTATGATTTGATACAAGTTAAATATTAATTGAAATTTATTTGTCTATTATATTATTAGATTCAATCAATGACTCTTCATTCATGTCGTATTCATGTGGCTATACTAACCAGTGGGTATGTTTTATTAAATAATAATTTCACAGGGTAGCATCTCTTTTTTCTTGTATAGATCAATACCTGATTTTATTCTTTCAACATATATTACACCAATAACTCAATTAGCTAAACAAATTCAAGAAAATGAATCTAATATTGATATTCAAGTATTTATTGATATATCTATATATACATATATTCTTTTTCGATATCAATAGATCAAATCATTTGGTAGTCTTGATGAATTTGCTAATCATGTAGCTCAATTAGTCCAACAAGAACATTCAATAAAATATCTTTTAACTCCAACACCATCATGGGTAAAATGATTAGCTGTATGTCTTTTATTTTATTCTATTGATAATTTAGAATGAAAAAATGTTACTTCGTCGATGTTCATCTCTAAATAGTATTAGGTAAAATTTCTTTCATAAAATATCTCATCAATTACAAATATTTCTCTCTAATTTAGTGCTCAATTAGTTTTACAACGTTTAAAAACAGTCGATCTATCAACAGTTAATCTTGAAATATTACTTAATCAATGTCCTGAAATACCAATGAACTATTTGAAAGTAAACCTTGTTTTGTTTTACTGTAAAATATGATTATGTTTTTTTTGTAGACATTTGTATCGGATATGCATAAAAGTACTTGAAAATATTTATTTTATATTTCAATGGAAAACATTTTAGAATTAGATAAATAAAAATGATCAGGCTTACATTTTTTTATTAGATTAAATACAATTAATATACTTGTGATGTATTGAAATATGAATGATAAATAGTATTTCAACTGATCTTAAGTAGAACATTCGAATAAAAAAACCGTTATACGAATTTTGCCTATCCGGAAAATTTTTGTCAATAGTTTTGCTAATAAATGAATGTCGAGATCAGGAATGTAAATATTTTATATGTCATAATCAATCGAAAACACAATGTCAATCAATCATGTCATATCTCCAAAAAGAAATTTCTTAATAAAATTTTCCTGGATATTTATTTATTGATATGTAATCTGTCGTCGATATCTAATAGCAACCATTGACAGCGTCAGGAATGAAGAGAAAAAAAAGAGTTTTTTTTCATCAAATATTTATTATAACAACTCACGTTTTAACACAACTCATTCCAGCATTTTTCCGTCCGTTTGGTCTTTTCTTCTTCCCTTACAAAAAGTTTTTTTTAACTAATTCAATATATCACATGTCGGTTAGTATAAATATATATTTATAATAGTATTTCGAATTAAAGAATATGTTTATAGAATAAACCAGGTTTTTTGTCCAATAGGCAGATGGAAGGTAATCAATAAAAACGAATAGGATTGATTTATGTTTTGTAATGTTATAGAATTACGTGATACATTTGATTTATTTGATCGAGATAAAAGTGGAGCGATATCGTCCGCAGAATTAAAACAAGTTTTAATTGCATTAAATTTTGAACCTACAGATAATTTACTTCGAAGAGTAATGAAAGAAATGGATGCAGATGGAAATGGTTCAAGTAATATTTTTTTGTATATTCTAATTATTATTGGGATTATATTTAGTTGAATTTGATGAATTTGTTAAAGCAATGCGAACTGTTTATGAACGAAAATTTACTGATGATGAAATGCGAAATGCATTCAAATGTTTTGATGCAGATAATTCTGGTAAAAAAAAATTTGTTAATAAATTTTCTTTTTCTAAGATTTTCCTTTCATAGGTTATATTACTGTATCTGAATTACGTGAAGTTTTAAGGCGTTTAAATCATGATGTAAGTGAACGACGAATAAGTGAAGTTTTATATGAAATTGATACAGATCATGATGGAAAAATAAGTTATGAAGAATTTGTACATATGTTACAAGATGTATAAATACAAAAATGTTACTCATTTTTTTTTAATTTTAACTAAACTTGTATTCTCATTTTAAATAAATGTCGTTAGAGTTATGTAATGGTGAGTATTTTAAGGGAAATGATATGTTCCTGCCAATGAATTAAAATTATTACATGCTAAAAGGAAAATTGAAATGCTTAGTTTCGGATAAATGAATTTACTAGAAGTCGTGCATGACATCTTTTTATTAAATGTCTTATTGGTATA